GAGTTGCAATTCAGTCTGACTCACAGTGCAAATAAAGTTGATATAATAGTCTTAAATATATGCTTGTGTTGGTCATATCTGTCACACCTACATGGGAAGGATTGCTGATAGTAGATGGCTGCTTACTCTTATCAGAAAGAGAGCTAGCAAGTTCCAATAATTGAGAGCTAAAGCTAGACCAATTGAAACTAGAAAAAGGAACAAACTTTTACTGTGAGAGTAATTAAACATTGGGGCAACTTACTCAGGATGTGGTGGATTCTTCGTCACTTGCAGTATTGAATCAAGACTAATATTTCTAAGTGATACCATCCTGGTGCTTTGATGTTATCACCCCTTTTTTATATCCCTTCACTGGCTTCCCCTTCTCTTTCACATCAATCATAAGCTGCTTTTATTTATTTTCAAGACCCTTTATGGACAACTTTATCAGTCATTTCTGATTCGCTATCAGAATATTGACTCCTGTCTCAAATTGGATCAACTTCCATTGTTAAATCTTCAGACAAGTACTTAAATGCTGTGTCCCATGCTTGAAGCTCCCTGTAATCAGCCACCAAATTACCTTATTGTCATCTTTGAAATTTCTCCTTAAAACTCTCCTTTGCCATACCAATACAAAACTGGAAAATGGTTCAGTTGTTGGTATGTTTAATCTGTCATGCTGACCAGTGTTGTCTCATTGGTTCCTTGTATTCTCTCATCTTTATGTATCAGTCTCTTTTTTTGTCTTATACTTAGATTGTAAGTTATTTGGGGGCAGGACCAGTCTCTTCTGTGTTTGTGCAGCACCAAGCGCATTGGGGACCTGGTTCATGACTAGAGTTTCTAGGTGTAGCTGAAATGCAGATGTTAAATAGAAGTTATGACCTTAATGCAGAAATTACTGTGTGAGGTTCTGTAGTCTGTTGTTTAGAAGGTCAAAATAAATAATCATAATGGTCCCTTCTAGATTTTAAATCTATTAATTTAAGAATTAGGAGTAGTCCAACTGATCTAATGCCCTAACAGTATTTTGGAGAGGAAGAATTGAATTGTGTGTCCTTGTTTAGTCACTTGCTTGAAGTGGAGGAAAAAGAAAGGCCAGGAAAATGTTTTCTTATGATTAGTTAGTCATAAGAAAACTTTCAGCATATGAAGATTGATCACACTGTCACAAAAAGAAGTTCCATGGTTATGAAACTTTGTTCTACACTAGGAACACAAATACTCCATCAGACTTCTAAATGAATAGTCAAAAAGTAACTGGATACTAAAGAATAAGGGATGTGTTTGGCCTGATTTTGATATCATTGAAATCAAAGTGCCAGCATCTGTTAACTACTTAAAAACTCTTCCTCCATCTAATTGTAGTGCAAGTGAAGACTTTGAGTAACAGATGCAGGTGACTTGGTTTTTTTTTTAATCTTTTGTGTTAACTTTCATACTAAAACCTTGCATTTTTCTTCTTAGTTTTGAACCCTAGTATAGTCTATTGTTTTACGTGCTCTCAGTTCTTCAAAAATAGTTTTTCCTTTGCTTATATATTTTAAACTATTTTAAAATATTTCAAAATATATGTTCTGCAGTATTTCAATCAAAGAAGTCTTTATGATTATCTGTAAATGAAATTGATCTTACTCTGTTTCTGCTTCCAAACGGAAAGCAAAAATGCTCAATGCTTCCTAAATGAAGAGTGTAGGTTTGTACAGATCAAATATCTTTGAAAAACACTGACACTGAGGATAGCACTATGAAATCAGCAGTGGAAAAACGTTGCTGCATGGGTGCGGAAAGAACTACACCCACATTCCTGAGCACTGAAAACCCAAGTAAAAGATGAAGACTCTGCATATCTGTGCTTTTTTAAGCTGTTTTCAAAGCTCAGTTTTGGAAATTAAGCTGAACATTATCACATTTTATTTTACGTGATTTAGCATACATATTTCTCAACATCTTGTACTTTTTAATTTTTTGCTTTAAGTATAGCCTAAAGCATCCTGAAGGGTTCCATGATGCATGAGTCATCTTTTTTTGCTGCTGAAACAAAGACCAATGCTGGGATAAAAATGCTTCCATGAAACTATAGAGCTGTTCAGAAGAAGGATTTATATAGGTTGAACGTAATAGACATCTGCTTCTCTTGTAATGCCAAAAAGCACAATTGGATTTCCAATAGCTAGTTGGTCTCATCACTTGCACCTCCAGCTTTACTTTCTCTTTCCTTTTCACAGTTTTGGGATATGGCTTCAGTAGAATTGGGGGGAAAGTAATAACAGCTGAGTCATCAGTACCACTTGCAGAAACACCTACATATACCTTAGTAACATCAAACCATTTGAAGTATGCTTATTTTGAGATCTGATGTAAATGCAGCAAAAGGTGTCATGTCTCTCTCCCTCTCTCTGTATATAAATAACATTTTTGTGTCATTTTTCACTAAGCATAATTTTCTTCCCTGGCTAGTTTTGAAAATGTGTGGATTAAAATTATGCTAGTTTGGATTCATGACTGATGTTTTAATTATATGAAGTTCATTTTACATGTAAGTTAAATTCTAGGTTGAAAAGTATTTAGTTTGATATCAAATACATATTCTAATTTATTTTAACTACGTGTTTCTTTTGATAATGCAGTGCAATCCATTATATGAAGCTTAATATCTTTTAAAGAACTAATTTAATGCTTATTTTTTCAGAGTTGGTCAGAATGAGCGGTCAGATCCTTTTTGTTTAGAATCATTTGTTGGCAGAGACCTCAGGAGGTCATGTTGGCCACCGCCCCCACTCAAAGCAGGACCAGTCCCAACTAAATCAGTCCAGCCAGGGCTTTTGTCAAGCCTGGCCTTAAAAACCTCTAAGGATGGAGGTTCCACCACCTCCCTAGGTAACTCATTCCAGTGCTTCACCATCCTCCTAGTGAAATGGCTTTTCCTAATATCTAATCTAGATGCCCCCTTCCCCACTGCAACTTGAGGCCACTGCTTCTTGCTCTGTCATCTACTACTGAGAATATCCTGACTCCATCCTCCCTAAAACCCCACTTCAGGAAGTTGAAGGCTGCTAACAAATCCCCCCTCATTCTTCTCTTCAGCAGACTAAGCTTAGTTCCCTCAGCCTCTCCTCATAAACCAGAACTACTCAACTTTGGAAGCTCTGGGGGCCACAATGATACAGCACATGCCGAAGGCTGCAACTTAAGTGTGGTTGCATTTACATGCAAATAGCTTCTTTCACACTGACACGCATGAATACAAAGATTAAGGCAAGACTACACAACATGCAGGGCCCATTTAAGTAAGTTCTGCTGATATTAATAAAATGCAATATTTACCCGATTTCTACCCATATGACAGCACTTTTAACAAGCAATGACAATGGAATTTAACTACTAAAACACATATCAACAGAAGACTAATTACTTTTTTGTTTTGAATCCCACCTGCAGGCCACATATTGAGCCCCACATAAACCCAAACTGCACTGTGGGCTGCAGACAAACTGGCTGCAGGCCGTATGAGGCCTGTGGGCCATGTGTTGAGTAGCCCTGTCATAGGCCATATGCCCCAGCCCTCTAATCATTTCCATTGCACTGTTCTGGTGTCTCTTTCACCAATTGTCACTTCTGTGGTGGCAGGCCCAAAACTGGATACAACACTCCAGATGTGGTCTTACCAGTGCCCATTATAGCGGGATAATCTCGTACCTCGATCTGTTGGCAATGCACCTATGAATGAAGCCCAAAATGCTGCATGTTTTTGAGGGTTTTTTTGCTCTTTTCGTTAATATGTTTAGATCTCTTAAAGTCTGGCACTCTTCTGCCCCCTCCATACACCAGAGGAGGGGAGGATGCAGTTGGTGATGCAATGTGTAGTGAATACTTATTTCTGAATTGCAGCTTCCCTAGATGACGTGACTTCTCAAGCATATGCATTCAGATATGTATCCTGTGATAATTAAAGCGACAATGGAAACCACAACTAATCCTTATGCACCATTTTTATTCATTTGTACACTTTTTAAGAAACGACAAGGAGGCCTGTGGCACTTCAAAGACTAACATTTATTTGAGCATAAGCTTTTTTGGGCTGGAACCCACTATGATGAATTAGAATTGTAGTATAAAAGTTAAATAATTGGACCCTGCAATCTGTGAGAGGCTGTAATATGAGTGAACAAGCATCCATTAAGTAATTTGACAAGTTTTCTGTTATACTTATAAACTACATTTTCTTAGTTATTGTGAACTAATTCGGACAAGTCTTAAAACCAGTGAAAAATAATCTGTGAAAATTGTCATTGTCTCAAAAAAATTAATGTTAATTACATTTATGCCTTTATATTCACATTTGCCTCTTCCATTTATCTGTCTAATGCTAGTGTTTTGCTTCTTTTTCATTTCTTCGTTTCTTTTGTTGCTTTCGTTTTAATGTATTGTGTTTATATAGAACTGGTCAAAGAACCGTTACTGTATTTTATGTTTGTATCTACATTTTATTTTGCATGCTTAACGTGGCTTTGCCTGGATATTCTTTTTGGTAAGTTCAGAATTTAAAAGCAAATTGTTTTTTCTGTAGTAAAACTTGTAAATTCTGCCACCTTTTCTCCCACCTCAAGTAATCTGTCATTATTTTTATCATACTGATTTGTGCTCATGTACTATTGTGTCTCTGCTAATTACACATATGATAACACTTCTTTCTTAATATTTCCCAGTTTTGTCTCTAGCTACACTAAACAATGACTTAAGTTCTAATATGTTCTAATTTCTAGCTTTAATCTTAAAACTAATGATAGCGACTATTAAAGTGGTCCTCCTTTAGTGTTTAGTTTACTATCTATCTACATAAAAACCCAAATGAATGCAAAAAAGCATCAGTCTTAGCAAAACATAGATTTTCTTGCTTAGCAAGCTTAGTGGTTCATCTGCGTCTCACAGGTATTTTATTGCTGTCATTTTTTTCTAGCTTTTTTTAGTGATTTGGTGAGAACAGCATACATGCAGTTGTGTTTCTTTTACAGCAACAGCTTGCTCAGCTGCAGAAGGAAAAATCAGAGATTCTGAAGAATCTGGCTTTGTATTACTTCACATTTGTTGATGTTATGGAATTTAAGGTATGGCATATCAAATATAACTCAGATAACTATTGCAATTGATTTTTCAGTAGTTCGTGTCATCTCTAAGGCTCCGATAAGTCTATTTTTGCAGCAGTGTATAGTAGTATGTGATGAAATAGCTGCTTTTCTAGTTTTGTGTTTTACGGTATCAAAATGTGCTCTATTTTTTGGCAGTATACATTGACACAAATGTTTGAGCTCTCTAAACTAAAATAAAGGGTTTTTCTTTTGTAAGGACCATGTTTGTGAGCTGCTGAATACTATTGATGTTTGCCAAGTCTTCTTCGACATTGTAAGTTTCTGATTTTTTAAAAATATTTAAAGTAAGCTTTCAAATACAATTAGAAACTAAAAATGTTAACTGCATATAGGCAAAGAAAAATATTTTTGCATTCACTCAGTCACTGCAACATCCTTTGTCTTTTTCATACATTTACAAGTATAACTTTTTAGAATTTTAGTGTCACGCTTTAGCTAGGTATTTATCACGTAGTTTTAATGACAGTAGCCTTGTGTGTGACCTAGTCAGGCTAATTTTATTTTAAATCATGACTCTTTATTATGCCCATATCTTAACTCTAGCTTGCTTTTTAACAAGATTACTTTTGAACAATGGCTATAGCATTGTCAGCCACTAATGATACACAGCTCTCTCCTTGATTCTGCAAGTTCATTGTCTGCTGTGGAGAAATCTTAGTTAATTGTTGGCATCAGAAAGCTTGGAGCTGCTTGATCCTCAGAAAACAGAAGTACTTCTGTTGCATATGGTGTTTGCTTTTTCTCTTACCTTTGAATATACCAGTGTAGCTACACTAGTGACTAAAATTCAAGTGTAGAAAAAGCTAAACAAAACTGCACCTGTTTCCCTTTCATCTTTTCCCATTGGCTTTTGTAAAGGGAAGTCCTGTTTCATCAGTCAGTCAGAATTCTCTAAGGGTGTCAACCAGCCACGAGAACAAGGATGATCCAGTCAGTATAATGTTCTTGGACTTTTAGAGGGTATGTCTACACTAGCTCATTAGTTCAAGCTAGGTAGGCAAATGAGGGCAACCGGAGTTGCAAATGAAGCCCGGGATTTAAATATCCTGGGCTTCATTTGCATGTTCCCGGGCGCCACCATTTTTAAATCCCCCTTAGTCCGAACTCCATGACCGCGGCTACACGCGGCATGGAATAGGTAGTTCGACTTAGAGATCTCTAATTCAAACTACCTACTCTGTGCCGCGTGTAGCCATGGGCACGGAGTTCGGATTAAGGGGGATTTAAAAATGGCGGCGCCCGGGAACATGCAAATGAAGCCCAGGATATTTAAATCCCGGGCTTCATTTGCAACTCCGGTTGCCCTCATTTGCCAACTAGCTCGAACTAACGAGCTAGTGTAGACATACCCAGAGAGCCTTTGACAAGGTTCCTCACTAAAGGCTCTTAAGCAGAGTAAGCAATTATGGAAATAAGCTGGAAGGTCCTCTCATGGATTAGAAACTTTAGAAGATAGGAAACAAAGGGTAGGAATACACATGATCAGTTCTCACAGTGGTGAGAAGTCAATAGCAAGTTCCCTCAAAACTGTGACCTGTTCCATTCAACATATTTGTGAATAATAAGGAAAAGAGGGTAAATGATGAGAGGGAAACATTTTCAGAAGATACAAATTGAAGCAATTAAATCCAAGGTTGACTTGTGAGATTCTTCTCTTCCCAAACTGGATGATTGGGGAACAAAATTAGCTATTTTGTACTGATCTACAATGACTATTAATGCACATTGGGGGGGGGGGGGGAGAATCCCAAGTATAAATACAACTTGGTACCATTCAATAAAGAGATCTTGGAGTCGTCATGAATATTTTCTGTGAATGTCTATTCAATGTATAGCAGAGGTAAAAAAAAAGCTAACAATATTAGGAAATCATTAGGATACAGAATACAACAGAAAATAGTGTTACCATACCACAGACTGATATACCTACCCACACCTTGAATACTGCATGCTGTTCGGGTTGCCACTTCTCAAATAAGATATACAATAAAACTCCAGTTGTCTGGCATCCAGTGGTCCGTCACTCCTGATAGTCCAGCACCACCTGGAAGTGCTCCAGGTAATCCCTGACCTTGTAGTCACTTAGGGCAGGGACTAGGGTGTCCTCACTCCGGGGTGCTCTCTTCACACTGGATTCTTTCTTGACCCACTGATCATTACACACAGTTCAAAGCAAATACAATTTATTAAACAGCAACTGATTACAAAGAAAAGAATAAGGAAAAAATGAAAAAGATTAAAAGAGAACACATAGCCCCACTCTATAGCATGGGAGCATCACCAACAGCAGTTTGCAGAATGTAAGGACAGTTCACAGTCTGTTCCTTTTACAGTAAAACTCCATTGGTCCAGCATCGGATTCTGGGAAGCCCAGGGCAGAGCAGCTGAAACTGACCAGCAGTGGCTGAATCGGGGATGCCTGGGGCAGAGCCGGACTGTCGGAAGGGGGGCTATGAAAGGTCTGGGGTGGCATTCCCCTCCACCCCACCCCACTCCAGACTCCTCATAGTCCCCCCTTCTGATAGTCCGGCATATTTGATAATCCAGCACCCCCTGGGTCCTAAAGGTGCCAGATTATCGGAAGTTTACTGTAATTGGAAAAGGTACAGAGAACACCTGCAAAAATGATTAGGGGTATAGACAGATTAAAAGGAATGAGACTGAGATCATTCAGCTTGGAAAAGACATTTGGGTTAGAGGAGAGCATTTTAGAGGTCTTATACAATCAAGAAGGTTATAGAGAAAGTAAATAGCGAAGTATTATTTACCATTTGTGTGACCCAAGAACTAGAGGACATCTGATAAAATTAATGGGCAGCAGTTTTATTAAAACAAACAAGGAAGAAATTCTTCTCACAATGCACAGTCAGCCTGTGGAACTCTTTGCCTGGGCATGTCGTGAATGCCAGAAGTAGAACAGTGTTCAAAAACAAATTAGATAAGTACATGGAGGATAGGTCCATTGATGGCTGTGAAGTCAGGGACACAGCCCCATACTCTCCATGTAACTAACCCACCAACTAGCTGGAACTGGACAGCACGGGATGGATGGCTTGAAATTGCTATATTCTGTTCATTCCCTCTGAAGCATCTGGCACTGATTACTGTCAGAAAGCAGGATCGTGACCATTGGCTGTTATGTTGTCATTTCACTAGTTCCTGGGTGGCCAACCAGTTAAGAAATTGAGCCAAAATAGCTGTGGATAGAGTGCCGCATATTATATATTTATTTTTATATATTTATAAATCTGTCTATATCATAGATATAGCACACAAAATATAGTGATTAAAAATAACATTTCAGGACATTTCGGTTCTGTTGTAGAACACCCGACAGAGCTATCTAGTCCGCTGATTGGCTACTAATGACCAGTTAATGATTTACTGATTGGCTCACATTCAGCACTAGGGTACAGATTTAAATGTATACAAAAGGCATATGAAAATTACTAATATATGACAAATATTAACTAATAGATGACCATTTACTAAAAACCAATAAAAAAGTCTTTGGTCACTTAAAAAATTCACCGCCATAGATCTTCAAAGAACTTGACAATGAACTAACATCAAATTTTAAAAAACACCCTTTGAAAATACAATAATATTCTCACACTAAAAGTAAGCATCCCCACCATGTATTTTAAATTTAACAGTACTGCCCTAGTATGTCCTGTGAGTTTTTTTTTTTTTAAATTAAACCAAACTGAGAAGTAAATTAGCACAATTTGAAGTGCTCGTTTTACTCCAACTTGTTGATCTCTGGTATGGTTTCCTCATTTTTTATTTTTTTTTACTTATAAAGATTATGATTTTTTTATAGTTCTAAAAATTCAGGTCTGTCCTAATCTGCAAATTTGGTTCAAAAACAATAAGGGAGACTCATATCTCAGAATAATTGCTTTAGCCTCTGAATTTTCTGTAAAGAAACACAGTGTAAACCAGGTACATGCTGATTCTTTTTTTTGTCCTGGAATTTACATATGACTTCAGTGTTGGCTGCCTTATTCTGCATCCATAAAGACTTTGAGTTAAAGGTGCTGCAGCCCCCCTGCTCTGATCCAACGCCTCTCCCCTCCCCCAAAGCCAGGTACCTCCAGCCCTCTGCCTCTAACCCAATGCCTGGGTCTCACTGGAGCCGCCACAGCCCTGTGCTTCTCCCTGCAGGTGCTGGGGCATATCCTCAGAGCGGCCGTGAGCAGTCCGTGTGCGCGGTCCAAATGAGCTATAACCCTAAGAGACGCATTTCTTTGAGCAAAGAGCCGTGGGTTGGCCACCCCTGCACTAGTTCAATAGTCATTAGTCCTTTAGGACTGGCAAATGTGCCTTTATAATGTAATGAAGCACAGACAAACCCTTTAAGGCAGTGGTCTCCAACCTTTTTAAGCGTGAGATCACTTTTTGAATTTAAGTGCAATCCAAGCTCTACCTCATATAGAAATACCCTTGTCCCGCTTCCTTCCTACCCCTTCTCCAAGGCCCTGGCCCTGCTCCCTCCATCCTCCCTCTCTTGCCCATCCTCACTCACTGTCATCAGCCTGGGACAGAGGGTTGGGGCGCAGGCTCTGGTCTTGGATTAAGGGATCTGGAGTGTGAGAGTGGCTTTGAGCTGCTGTTGGGGCAGGCAGTTGGATGTAGGAGGGGGTTCTAGGTGCAGGCTTTGGGAGGTTGTTTGGATGCTCAGAGGTGCTCAGAGCTAGGATAAGGGCTTGGGGTACAGGAGGGGGTTCATGACTGGGGTGGGAGTTTGGGATGTGGGCTCCATTTGGGCACTGCTGGTGGCTCCTGGATGGTGTTGCAGTGGGGCTAAGGCAGGCTCACTCCTGCCCTGGCCCTGAACCACTCCTTAAAGCAGCCAGCAAACTCCATCCCTAGTCCTGTTGTGCCCCCTCTCTGCTCCGTGGAGAAAGGATACAGAATGGGAGAGGGGGCACCTTGACATCAGCACCCCTCTTTTCCCTCCCCTGCCCTGCACAGAAAGCAGGAGACTCCCGGGGGGGGGGGGGGGGGGAGGGGCAAATCCAAGTAAAGGGAAGAGATGTGCAGCAGTGGGGGTAAGGGGCAGCTGAAGTGTAGGCACTTGACAGCCTCTTGGCATACCCATCAGGATCACCTGACAGAGGCTCCAAGATCTACCAGTAGATCCCGATCTACTGGTTGGTGACCACTGCTTTAAGGTGACTTTTATATATAATTAAAAATAATGGTAGAAGCCCAATATTAGTTTTTTTGCAGGCCATCTTTTAAAATGCAACGACTTTTATAAAATGTAAGGCAAAACACATTCATGTTTCAATTGCTTTCTAATTTCAGAGCAAAATTATATTCCAGTTTTTTTATTTATGTAGCATTCATGAATACCCTGATGATACCAAGATCTGCTTATCTTGAGGCATTGAGTTGTCCCACTGATTTAAGTGCTTGTATTAAGCTTGGGTAGAAGTGTTAAGGAAAAATTATGACCTACAATTCTGGCATTAAAATCCCATTAGAATTAATTGCTAATAATGCTTGAATACGATTTAGTTTTTTCACCAAGGTGTGTTTATATTTTAGTATTTTTGCTACTAAAGGTCTTGAGAATGGAAGAAAAACTGTAACAATTTGTACTTCATCTCTAGACTGTAAACTTTGATTTAACGAAGAACTACCTAGATTTGATAATAACCTACACAACACTAATGATATTGCTGTCTCGAATTGAGGAAAGGAAGGCAATCATTGGATTGTACAATTATGCTCATGAAATGACACATGGAGCAAGGTAATGCATTGTATTTAAAAAAAAAATTACGTGATTTTGTCTGTGGCTGGGTACATTCTATTTGTTGTGCTTTTTAGTGATAGAGAATATCCACGTCTTGGTCAGATGATTGTGGATTATGAGAATCCTTTAAAGAAGATGATGGAGGAATTTGTGCCTCACAGCAAAGTAAGTTTGAATACTTTTCACAGGTTCATGGTCATTGCTGTTTGAAAGAAGCATGTATGTGAAACAAATTTACAGTTGATAAAAGTACTACAGGCAGTCCCCGGGTTACGTACAAGATAGGGACTGTAGGTTTGTTCTTAAGTTGAATTTGTATGTAAGTCGGAACTGGTACATATTGTAGGGGAAACTAGCCAAACATTTCTCCAGAGCTCAGTTTTATTCTCCCACACCTCACTTCCCTCAGTCCTTTATTCTCAAGCTGAGGTGTCTGTTGGGAAAAGCCGCTCCGCATCTCCCTAGTCTGCAGGGGGGGGGGCGCTAGCTTCGCGTCTCCCTGGTCTGCTGGGGGGAAGCAGCTAGTGCGGGGTTGCCTCACCCTGTTTGTAAGTAGGGATCCGATGTAAGTCGGATCCATGTAACCTGGGGACTGCCTGTATTTAAAAAAAAATTCTAGGGAATTAAATTATTGACTTAGCAAGAGATGAACAGAAGAGAGATAATTTATAAATCTTGCCAAATCACTTCTCTGCCCACCAGAAAAAAAAAACCTAACCTAAAACTGGTTATGCTTCTTGACTGTATGACAGGTACCTAATTTACTGTTCATTTGTAGTATGGTAGCCTAGAGGCCCCATCAGGTTCAGTACCCAATGTGCAGTAAGACTCATATTTGAAGATTTTATAATAAATTTTAGACAAGATGGGAAAAGTGGACAATATTCTGTCGGAGAGAAGTAAATGGCTAGCAGGACAAGAGTAACTGCCTGCATAGATGAACTAATGAACAACCCGATGAGTCCAATTTCATTTTTGTTTACTCATGGATTACATATAAAATAAAAATCCAGTGTCCTTTATCTTTTCATTTGTCATTTTGTTTTAATGTCATCGACCCTAATTCATTGTATTTTAAAGCAGTTTTCTCGTTTTCCATTAGTAAACAACCAGTATCTCATTTCATTTGTGTGAATTGAAACAGACTTTAGTTCAGGCTTTAATGTAGTGCTCAGCATACAAATATTTTAGTAAAAAGTTTTGATTATTGCTAGTATGGATGTAAAGTACCAAATTATTAGTGATTAGTTAGTTTTGATGCAAGGGTACATCAAGGCTTGAATGTCAGTGCTGATCATTAGCTGTTCCAGTTGCTGAAAATAGCAGCTATTTGGCTGGTTGCTATTAGAACAGAATACTGTGCTAATGAAGTGGAATAGTGTACAATGGCTGTAGAAAAAGACACACTATGAAGTATATATATATTGGATTTTTGCTAAAATAAAAAAAGTCCCAAAGCATTGGATCTTGCACAGTTCTTCTAACTAAACCTTTTTTTATTTTCCTAGTCCCTTTCAGATGCTCTAATTTCACTCCAGATGGTCTATCCCAGAAGAAATTTGTCAGCTGACCAGTGGAGGAATGCGCAACTATTGAGCCTAATCAGTGCCCCGAGTACAATGCTTAATCCTGCACAGTCTGACACAGTATGACATTTTACCTTGAGTAATAGAGTAGTATTTAAATAAATAGTTCTGTGAAATAATTTTATTATATATATATATTTTTGATATTGGATTATGTATTATTGGATTTAACTATTTAATTTGCTGGCAAGAATTCAGCTTTTCTGAACCATTTTTGTACCAATAATCAGGTTGGTAATACTTGAGTAATTACAATTGCAGTGTCCAATGGAATTAATTACCTATAGAGTCTTCCTTTGACTTAGCATTTATCTCCATTCCCTGTTCTTGATAATCATCTTTAAATGAAAATATTGTGGATTTTATTGGGTGGGAAGAGTAGAGCATGGAATTCTATGTAGTATTTAAGGTGTTGATGGGAAAACAAACGTCAGACACTAGATTTTTTTTCAGTTCTTAGTGACTTTGGATGCCTTCATTTTTGGCTGAACATTTTGCACTTTGTGAGAATCACCCCCCCCCCCCCCCCCCCCCCATAAGTGTGCCAAGTTGGGCAGTCAAAAATATTCACCCAAAGTCACTAATCGCTTTAGAAAATCTTAACTTATTAATTAGCTAGTCTTATAAAAGGTTGTGCATTGCTTTGTTTAATTTTCTTTGTTGTTGTTTAAGCATCAGCTAAATTAAAAGCAATCTGTAAACAAAAGGAGTTTTCTTTGATTTTGATACTAGGATAAAATCTCCTGACATGCTTTGTGAGGGGAAAAATATATAAAATTGTTGCTTTTATGATAAAAAACAACAACCCTATATTCTATTAAATGTGTTCATTAGAATTATTTTTATTATGTATCATTTATGTACTGGAAATCATTCTTTCATACAGATGCCATGTGAATACCTCTCTCTGGATGCAATGGAAAAATGGATTATTTGTAAGTACATCTTTAAGAGATATTGTATGTGCCATTTTTATTTCTGCATAGTGCCCATTTACTTTTCAGAAAGCTGTACTAATTCAATTGTGTTCTATAGAAGGTGCTATGACTAGAGGATGGAGATTTTCATGTTTACAGTGTCATGCTTTTGTATGGAGTTTAGAGCATATATTCTGAATTTTTTCATTTTTTTCAGATTCTGCCTGTACATTTGTTTTTGAGTTATTTTTATTAGTGATAACTTAAGCAGTGCTATTAATTAATTCATACCAATGATCATTTTGATGATTCATGCTGTGCTGGAAAATAAAAGTGTGTATACTGCCATATTGTCCAGAGTGGCTCACAACTGTGAGTACCAATCTAAGGTCAGACTGACAGAAAACAGGGCAGACACGCCAAGCTGGTGGTATATTCTACACTTAGATTTCACCAAGCCAGTAACAAATGTGAACTCCTTGAGCACTATATTGGTCTGATCCCCTGGAGTCATAAACAGTCCCCTTGGATTCTGCAGACCATCTTGGCGTTCAGACAAACTGGACTTAGTGATAATGGTCTCTCAAACTAAAGATCACATCACATTAGGTTACTTCCAATCCTAAAGGGTTGATCACTTACCCCAGATCAGTTGTGTACACTGGATTTCACACCAGACACAATGCTGGCAGCCAATTCTCTAGTAAAAGAAATGAGTTATTGATAGTTTAAAGCAGGCAAAATACAGTAACAGGAGAGTCAAAGTTTATAAATCCAAAATGATAGCAAAGATGTAGTAACCTGATAGGTTCCCAAAAGTATTAGGTTTACCCAGAAAAACTCTGGAGATCTTTGTAGTCTTGTCCAGATATTCCACTCTGTTAGAATCCAAACAGTCCAGAAATGAAGACTCATTCCCATGAATCCATGTGTTTTTTGTCACTCCCTGGCTCCTTGCATTGAAATTAGCATTTCCTGTTAAAGTCATTTAAGTCCTTCATTGACATTTCAGAAGCTTTCTTTGAAGAGTAGTTTTAGTAACAGGGTTATATATGAATGGAAAAGTTAGTAATAGCAAGCAAACCTTTCTTAGTTTGCACATGGAGTACATTTTCATCTAAACACTCACTTTTGATCTAGTGTTAATTAATTACATGGATATACAATCAGTAGGTTATAGATAAGTGAAGACAATACAGGTTGTACCCCTCTTGTCCAGCATTCTCTGGTCCGGCAACATCCATGGTCTGGCATGATTTTACTTAGCTAGATGTCCACTTATGTATGCGGCCAGGTTTCCCACAGTCTCAAAAAGTTTGTTTTCAGCCACCTGTCCTGGTGTTCTGTGCTGATATTTAGTTCTAATTTATCCCTACATTTCTTCTAACATCCCAGTAAGCAATGGAAGTGTTGGATGTGCTGCTAGATAATACTGACCTGAAATGGTCCAGCAAATTCTCTGGTTCTGCCCTAGGGATGTAAGAAACTAGTCGACTAGTGATGCGATTGGTCATTCCCCCAATGCCTCTATCAGAGAGAGGCAGCAAAGGAGGGGGAACAGGAGCCAGTGCTGGGGGGAACTTAAAAGCCAGTTCCCCCCAGCACCATCTCTGTGAGAGGCAGGAGAGGTAGAGGCACAGCGGGAAACGGCGTAAGTGGAGACTGAAGCAGTCTCCTCTTGCACTGGTTCTGCTGCCATTGTGAGGTGCCACACAGACATCAGGGGACTTGCTCACTGGTCCCACACTCCCTGCCTTCCCGAGCCCACTGGGGCTCTTGTACATTTCAAAGGCTGAGATGACGCCCTTATCGACTAATCAGATAGTCGATGGAAATCCCATCGACTATTTGATTAGTTAATTAATCTAAATTTAACATTCTGCACCAATCAAGTCCTGGGGTGCCGGATTAGAGAGGTTCAGCCTGCATTAATTATTGTTTTGGCAGCTGATCACAGTAGTCATCCATTCATGAGTTCAGGTTTTCATGTTGTCTTGGTATTTCTGCTCTGTGGTACCTTACATCTATCTTGAATTTTCTTTTGAAGTTGGGTTTATTTTGTGCCATGGAATCCTGAACAGTGATGCCACAGCTTTGAACCTTTGGAAACTTGCCCTTCAGAGCAGTTCGTGCCTGTCCCTATTTCGAGATGAAGTTTTCCATATACACAAAGCTGCAGAAGACTTGTTTGTGAACATAAGAGGGTATGTTATTTTCATTAATGTATTAGTTCAGAAAACTGTTTTAATTGCTTATAATGGAATTACAAATTGTTATTCTAGCCCTGTGCTGTGCTAGTAGGAGAAATATATAACAGCTTTAATTAGTGGTTTTAGAATGTAGAAATGCTGATGGAGGAGAAGTAGGAGGTTAAATTCTCATGGCTGTTTTATTATTGCCATTGTGGTAAAGAAGAACGTTTTTATGATGGAGCTTGTAAGTTTTTATGACAGTTTTGCAAAGGTGAGTTCTGTAGTTGGAAGGTCTTGAAATAAAAATATTTTCCTCTTTTTCAGAATGTATTTTTCTCATTGTTTGGAATGTCATATATATCTTAAGATCATATGTGTAGTGTGAAAAATACAATGAAATGTAGAGATTTTGTATTTGATATATGATTCTATTTGAGTTTGTCTCATAAGTTTTTGCAAAATGTACTCCTCTTCAGAGATAATTGGAGATGGAAAAAACATACAAAACCCCACTGTGTTTTATCTCCTAAGTTGGGCATCTGTTTGTGGGCTGCTTTTAGTCCTTGTACATACATCTCTAGTGGACTGGATCAAAGCTGTATCCCGTGTTCCAGGGATTTAGTTTGAATTTACCAGTGCTTAAAAAGTTGGTTAGAAAACTATGTATCTACCTGTTAGATGAAAGCTCTGCATGCATATTTTCAGTATAAGCTATGCCACTCAGGAACATGAATGTCACCTCCTTCGGTGGTGTTATTTACACTAGGGATGTTAAGTTTAGATTAACTAATCGAATACTTGATATGGGTGCCTCCGCCTTTGAACTGTAGCAAGAGTCCTGCCATGCTCTTGCTACAATTCAAAAGCAGAAGCCCCACAGGGAGTGTGGGGCCAGCAGCGGACGGGCCTCAGGCTCCCTGCAGCGCCTGAGCCTTTGAAATGTACAAGAGCCCCAGTGAGACTTCTGTACATTTTAAAAGGAAGTCATGAAGGGAGTGTGGGATCTGCGGGGGACCACTGGCCCTGCGGTGCCTGAGCCTTTGAAATGTACAAGAGCCCTGATAGGATCATTTCTAAAGAAGTCCTGCAGGGAGCGCTGGGACAGCAAGGACTCTCCGCTGGCCCCGCACTTCCTGTTGCACCTCTGCCTTTGAAATGTACAAGATCCCCGCTGGGCTCTCTGATAGAAGCAGCAAAAGGAGGGGAAACGACTAGTCGCTTGCTTCCCTAATTTACACTGACCTAGGTGCTGGTGCAGACAGTGCTATGTCAGTGGGAAAGCTTCTTCCACTCATATAGCTACTGCTGTTTGCAGAACTCAACAGAAAAGCTTTCTCTTGTTCACTTTGGCCACGTCTTACTAGGGATGATAGATGTCATGTATTTTAGTAATCTTGTAGCCTCAACAATTTTTAGCCACTGTATCAGAGGCAGCAGAGTGGGATGGCAGGTGGGGCCTGTCCATGAGGGGAGCTGGTTTAAAAATTCGCTCCCCATGATGACCAGCTCCCACTTGCGTGCCCTCTCCCCCCTCTTCCCTCCCACGCTGCTGCTGATAAAAAATGTTGGGTGGGGGGAACAGGTGACTCCATGGTAGCGGTTACCCATGGGGAGCCAGCTTCCTGCATGTACTGGCTCCCGCCTGCCCCCCTTTCCCCTTCAGAGGCAGCAGCAGCATGGGGATGGGGAGGGAAGGCAGCTCCATGAGATCCAGTACTCATGTGGAGCTAGCACACCATCTCCCACTTCCCCCTCACACTTCTCCTTGTAGGAAGTGTGGAGGTGAAGAAGGTTGCATGTAACAGTTTGGATTAACCGATAAGTAAGCTTATTGTTTAATCATTTAAATGGCTACATGCTAACATCCCTATTCTTTCCTACCGGGAAGATCGGCACTGCAGAAGTTGATCTTCTAGAGTTTGATTTAGCGGGTTTAGTGAAGACCCACTACGTAGAAAACTGAGGGCATATACGCCCCTGATGCCAGTACTGCTCCATTCATTTGCTCTTGTCAACTTCCCACTGTGGAGATGGTGTCGAAGGTCAAATTAAGGTATGTCGATGCCAGCAGCTGGCATTGTCTCTTAATTCTACCTTCTAGATAAGTATAGATAAGAGCATCGCTTAAGAATTGGTGCCTCTGCATTGTTGTAAGCGGTGTAGTGTAGTCATAGTCTTAGTTTTTCTGAATATTGTACCCTTATTTTCATGTCAATTCAGAAATGATTTGGCTGCTGATCTAACTGAATACTTTGGGTTTTCAAAAGTTGTCAGAGTCATGATCAATGTGCTTTACCCATCTGGGAGGGATTCGGGGTGAGGATAATGTTAGTTATTTAAAAGCTGCAGCTCTCTGCAGTAATTTTTGCATTGTCAGCCGCTAAAATACTGAAATTCAGCATTTCACAGTGAGGAAAGATGCATTTCAATAAATTTTAATGATGTTTACAGGTCTGGTATCTCAGATAATCAAGGCTAAAAAGGATAAATATAAAATATATAAGAAACTCAGGAAACTGATCAAGGATGGTTTTCTTTTAATGTCCAGTGGCTTGTCTCATAAATCAGGGCAAGGTAATCTTTATCCACAGCAAATTCCCTTTGGTGTGGAACTACAGAGAGTATAGGGCCCTAGTTCTTTCTCTGGCTTAATGCTTGTTGACATTTCACTGGTTTTTACTTGCAGCTACAACAAACGTATTAATGACATAAGAGAGTGCAAAGAAGCTGCTGTATCACACTCGTAAGTATCTTATATAAAATCACACATACTATGGATTTTCAAATTTGAGTACTGCTTACATTTGTAAAAAAGTCTAAAACAAAAAAAATAGTTAACCATTTTTTTTTCTTCTCCTGAGTTCATTTTAATGGGACTTTATACTGAACTAATGACAATTTGCTGTTGAACTGTGCTTGTTCTTGGCATTTTCTTTTTCCTGCTGGAGAAAGGAATCTTCTTGTCTTCTGCTGTTTAAAACAACCTCAAACTTCTATATGAATGAAGTCCTTAATTGACATTTTTGCTCATAAAGTTTGCCTAAAGTCAAATGAATTATTGGAGTCCTATTAAGTGAGAGCTAAATATAGCTTTATATTCTTTATTTCATTGAGCTTTTTCAAGCAGAAAACTATTGTAAATAAAACATGGACTATGATGTTTTAATATTTGAATAGTTGTAGCTGAGTAAACACTTAACACTGGCACAGGACCACCGCAATAGTTAAGATCATGTCATGACACTTGTTCAGAGATGAGCTTTTCTAAGTTCTTAAAAACTGATCTATTTAGTTGGATTTCTTAGAAATGTAATGTATCTCAAGAAGTGTAAGTTAAGGTCTGTGACCCAAATTTGGAGTCATTTGAGCCAGTAGTTTTGAGGAGAGAAACCCTGAGAAATCCTAACTCTTTTAAAAAAAAAATTACCAGCACCAGAGGTCAAATTATTGACTAGTGTACCTCAACCATTTCTGCCCCCTAGCTGTAGTAGTGCACCACCAGCTGTGCCCATGCACCACAACTCAGTCTGCCATCCCTCACTCAGCAAGTGCACAGTAACCTTCTGGCATCTCACTGGTCTTGCACCTGACCTTCTCTGCACTCGATAGCTTTGCCTGAGGGAAATGGGAATATTTAAGTACATTTTTATAGATGCACAGAAAGCCAGGATTCAGGAGGAAAGTGGTATTGGTTACAGAAAGTGTGTTTGAGTGGAAGTGAAGGCAGTTGTGTAGGTGTGATACGCGCGTGCGCGGAAAATAGGTGAAGTTGATAGTAATGGATAGTGATGTTAGATGTCAATTAATTGAATAATCAGGTAACCGCATCGAAACTTGGCAGTTACATGATTACTCGATAGTCCCTGGGGGCTGGGCTGGCAGCCAGTGCGCTCCCGGCTCCACTCCTAAGGAGCCCTCTGCCACTCTGCACTGCCGCCTGTATCACCCGGCATAAAAACTGGCTCCCGACTACTGCCTTGCACTGATGCCTCTGAACTTAGGCCTGCCAAGAATAGAGGCTGCTCCGGGACAGCAGCCCCTGTCAGCTGGGAGTCCGAGTTCCCTGCAGACAGAGGCTGAGCTGGCATCCCACAGAGCCTTAGCTCTGCACCCACAAATGTGCATCTTGCACATTTCAGGACTCCCCACCGTTAACCTGAGTAGTGATTCCCCAAACACTTTAATTAGAGCACACTGATTTAGAGAAAAAAATGAAAAGTTTATTAACTAGAGAGAGATTTTAATTGATGAATAGTAAAGGAATAAAAGTCAGAATTCGTTACAAAAGGAATAACAAGTAAATACCCAGGCTATTTTCTAAACTGCACCAAGCTAAATGAGATTTGAAAGCAAAAAGATTTCTCATACCCAAAACTTTCAGCAGTCCATACTAACTGGAAAGCCTTTGAGTTAGAACCACTCCTCCAGTTCAGTGACAGTTCTTTGTCTTTCAGTCTTGCTGCTATGAGTAGAGATGGAGAAGTAATACATAGGTCACTGTCTCTTATTTTATATCCTCATCTTCTCTTGGAGGAATACCCCACGAAACCCTTCAAGTGGGACAGTCCTCCGAATGACCAGAATGAAGCCGGCAGGGTGAGGGTTGTCTTATTGATAACAGTTATCACTGTGGGTCCAGACACAGATGCTCAGAGGCAGCCTGAGGACCCAGACAGGTGGAATATGTGGGGGAGGAGGGACAGAGTTCTGCCATTCATTAGCTCATAGCTCAGAAAAGCAAAAACAGAGGCTAATTGAGTGAAGCATCGCTCCTGTGTGATACTTGAGCCTGCAACTTCTAGGTGTGCTTGGACCTTCTCTGCTTCCAAGTCTGCAGCTACAATCTACCTCAGAATAACACTGCTGGTTATCCAAAAATTCAGTGTTGCCCATCTTCATTCAGATAAATGGGAGCATAGCATACTTAAAACATGTACTACACTTACACCTCTCTATTCTGGGTATTCCTAATTTGGGAACACCCATGGTGGAGAGGAGGGTGCGCACTGCTGTTCCATCTTCTCCCCAGCTGGGGAATCGGCAGTGTGCAGAGCTGTTTCCCTGAGGCTTTTCCCCACCATTCCCATAGTGGTGGGGGTAAAGCCCAGGAGCAACGGGGAGTGTAGAGCCATGTGCGCCCCTGGAAGTGGGGTTGCAGGAAAGCCCCCCACATCCAAATCCTGCAGTGCCCTTCCTAGCCTGGCAAAATCTTTAATTCAGCATGCCCTGTTTTCCGCTAGAATGAAGAGCTTCAAGTGTAATCACGATCTACAGGTTTGACTTTTAAGGGTGAATTAGACTTTTAAAAACTCAGCTTTTTTTCTTTTTAAAACACAGCTGAAAATAATTTCCTGCTACTTATCTGCGAAGTGCAAAGTTTTATTGGAGTGTTTCCATTACAAAGAATTTGCAGCATAGCAAATATGCATGTAATTCAGGAAATTTAGCTCCGTTTTCTGATGGGTGTTGTACTGTAATCAGCTGTTTAAGAGAAATACTGTATTCTGCACTTGGCAGATGACAAGCTTTTGTGTTTCTTTAAAATCTTCTTTAATAATAATTTATAAATAATACATTATCAAGGAAAATGACAAATATCTTATGCCCCAAATTTAGGTTTATTTAACAAAAATAAATGTTCAAGTGACAATTTTTACATATTTGCCCCTGCATTTTTTGAGATTTTTACAATATAGCATTGTTATGCTTGTACATGAAAATTCAAAGTAAATGTTTTGAAACTTGAGGTGAAATACAAGTTGCAAAGAGTAGACTATTTTAAACTTTTTAATTATTTAAAGAGTTAGTAATAAAGATGACTTTTTTTAACCAGACTCATGTTTTCATTTATTAAAATTTTCTTTGAATTGGTGAAATATGAGCTGCAAATATTCAGACCGAGACACTTTTATTTTTAAATTAAATCTTGCCCAGATCAATTCATAGTAGCTAATATCAGATATTGATGACTAAAATTAATTTCATTCTTTGTTTTAATATAGTGGATCAATGCACAGAGAAAGACGCAAGTTTTTACGGTCTGCACTGAAAGAGCTAGCTACTGTTCTGTCCGATCAGCCAGGCTTGTTAGGTCCCAAGGTAATTGCAGTAGTTACTTTTGATGGGTATGTAGCCTCTTACATTTTCTTTCTACCATCTTATCTAATTTTTAATGTGTCTTGGAAAAATGCTATTTTAAAAGGGTAAGAGCTATGCATTCAAGTTGCTATATTTAGGAACAAATTGTCTATTGCTGTGCACAAAATAATTGGTATGTTTTTCTTTTCTAGGCACTTTTTGTATTTATGGCATTATCCTTTGCTCGTGATGAAATTATTTGGCTTCTTCGCCATGCAGATAACATGCCTAAGAAGAGTGCAGATGATTTCATAGATAAGTAGGTTAACAATATTTAGTGGGGTACTTTAAATTTTTATGCAGAATTAACAGGGAATATATATTTGAAAGTAAGACTTCCTGTATAGGAATCATGTGTATATTCATGATTTAGGCTTGTTCAAAAAAGTGGTAAAATTCAACTTTTAATTTAAAACCCAAACTGACATTTTCAGCCAAAAACTGACACTTTTTAATGACAACTTAAAACTTTGTATCATAAGTTGAGCTTTTAATGTAAAAATTAATTCAAAACGTTACCTGATGTTGGAAACAGTTGAGATAGGAAAAACTGGACTATTCTTAGTTTGTGTAAACCAGCTACTCATACTTTTCCTTGAATCACTGTAACAGAAAATTATATAGCTATAAATTAGTCTTAAGCTTACCTTGCATTGTAAAACTATGAATACCCCAATCCTAGGGAGAAGTTCAAGTGATTAATGTTAAATCAGATAGCTCTAATGCTCTTGTACAAAATGTCATATATAAACAAGCAAGGTGGGAGCAAGACACTGGATAAAGAAATGATTCTGATGGACTTGGGGGGGGGGAAGAGCTCCAGCTCTCTATTAGTCAATCCAGGGAATTTCTCAGTCTTCAAGTGGACTAGCTACACTGGGAATATCTTCTTCTATGAGAATGAAGACTGAATGAAAAGTTTTTTGAAGGTCTGTTCTCAGAAGGGCAAGCTAACCATGAATCTCTTCACAACAGTGAAGATTGAGCTTTCTGTGATCTACATCTGGAGTAGGAAACCTTGACATTCGAACAGTGATCTATTCTCCATCCCCTGGAGAGATTCAACTGGTCTGTCACATTCACTTGATTCCACAGGTTTTGAGAGAGAGAAAATGAGATAAGATTTATCCTAATAACACCGTGGTAACACCCATTAGTTGTTAACCCATTTTTCCTCCACCAAATTTTATACACGGAGTCCATGGAATACTAGAAAAATTACATGTAGAGGCCTGATTTATGGGGGGAGCTGTAACAGATCTCTATAATGCTAATACCAAGAAACATACCCACCTGAAATTTATCACCCTATCTAGGAAAAATTACCCTGGTGAGTGGAAGCTTAATCCCGTGTGATCAATGTTAACTACATGGCCCTTAGCCCTCAGTGTTTGAGGAGAGTCCATTGTGTCTCTAGCCCTTCACTGTCTAGGTCTGAGGGTGATGGAGAACCTGACATCAAGTCCTTGCTGGGTAATTCTTGTATGGAGATGGAATACAACATTGCATGGACTTTTGCTCCTTTTCTCAAATCTTTGGTGTCAGTCTACTTGTTTTTAGGTAGCCATTCCTTGTGATCCTAGTTCTCTTAAAATCAAACAAATTTACCATAAACATACTTTGTGTTATCTTACATGTGCCATAACCTAGATTTGTCTAGTTAAAATTCTAGACTACGACCTTAAAATTCTAGTTATTTCGCCATCTGGCTTTTGCAAGTCAGTTTTTGTTCTGTTCAGTAGCTCCAGGTGTGAGGAGAGGCCTTTACATCCTAGCAGAATGAACTTCTTATGTATTAAAGAGGTATACTAAGCACCCATACATCTTCTACCCTTTTGGGTAGAATAGAAAATCTCTGTGGATTAATTCTACCAAATAACTGGTTGGCATTCAGTTCACAGCTTCCTTTGAAATTAAGTGGATGTTTAACACATTAACAGATATGGTTTTCAGATAATACTGGGAGCCATAATCTAAGGCAAGGTCTATGCTAAAATATTAAGTCTACCCCCATCGTTTGGGGCTGTGAAATATCTACACCCTTGAGTGCTAGAAAATTTGATCTAACCTTCCAGGGTAGACCGCGCTAGGCTGACAGAAGAATTTTTCCACTGAATTACCTACTGCTTATTGGGGAGAAGAATTTTTCCACTGAATTACCTACTGCTTATTGGGGAGGTGAATTAATTATGCATATGGTTGAACCGTCCCTGCTCCTCCTTCTCTCCCCCCACCCACCCACTGTAGTGGATCTCTACACTGCAGTGCTACAGTGATGCATCAGAAGTTATAGCATTTGTGGTGTAGAGATGCCCTAAGATAGTGCTGCTTCCTGATTCTTTGTATAATATCATCCGTTGTGGGTACTGCTTGGGATAGCCTGTTTCCAGACTAGCACCCAGCTAATAAGGAAACATTGATCGCAAAGAGATTTGTTTTCATAGGGAGGATTTTTAACATGGAGTTCTTACCTTTGTAATTAATTGTCGTATTCCACAAATTAATCAATTTGATTTGTAGATGCTACAGAAATTTCAAATGGGATGCTAATGGTAGAGGAGAGCTTTTCTGGAGTTGAAGCTAAAAGCATTCCTTTGGGGCCAGAGTTTCATGTTTTTACCCTTTTGTCCTATTGGTGGCTCCTTACAAACTCAAATCTACCAGGTGAAATGAATATTGTTCTTTGTTCTCCCTTCTCACTGAAAGCCTCCACTAAAATTAAGAATATTTTTAAAAGCTTAAAGCTAATAAATCATTCTAACTTCTTTGCAAACAAGTGTTTCACACTAGTGGAAAGGGCTCTTTCAATAAGGGTAGGTTTCCGTATTTATAATCTTTTACCTTTTTTGCTTCCCAAGGCACATAGCTGAACTGATCTTCTACATGGAAGAGCTCAGAGCTCATGTGCGAAAATATGGACCAGTGATGCAGAGGTATTATGTGCAGTATCTCTCAGGTTTTGATGCTGTGGTCTTAAATGAACTTGTGCAGGTGAGAGGCCATTTGTTCATTGTTTTTTGTAATCATGTGCAGGTTTGCAAAAGAGCTTGTTTAGCATTGTCTCTGATGTGGTAACTAGAAATGCATCTCATTTGTTTAGAACTTGGCTGCATTTGTGATGCTGAAATAATACATACAGTAAAATAAAACGAAACAAATTAGCTCATGGTTCAGCTTTGTGCTATAAAGATTGAGCTTTGCTTAGCTCGTTACTGTTACAACAGGTAATTTTAGAAGGTTTTTTTAATTAACTGCAAAAAATCTCTATATTCAGCTAAAGGTACAAACTGAACTAGGTTAAGACTTCTGCTTCTTCTTTCATCAGCTCACTGGCAAGACCTCCTGTAGTTTCAGAGTTGTAAAACTGTGGAACCACTTCACCAGTCCATGGCCTATTCCTGCTTCACTCAGTGTGAAAAAAGAACTGTTAGTGTCTAGATTATGTACATGCTTTAGGTTTTTCAGCTGTATTTTCAGCATCTCTGAACAGTTCCCTTGACTATTCTCCTCAGGACTAATATTCTTTTGTGCCTTATTGCTTCTGATCTCACTTCAAAATGTTTGATTGTATTTGTCCACATAGAGTTATAAAGCTTGATGCGTCTAGTGATGCTCAGATGCTTCTGATTAGATTTTGAAAGTATTTTTTTTTCCTTTGTGATATTTCTTGTTTATAAGATCTCTGGAAAGCACCACAGTGCCCTCAATTGCTGCCCTGAGTGTAGTTATGAGGTATAGTTTATCAACATAATGGAAATCCCTTGACCCTGTGCTACTTCACAAACATGCTGAATAGGAGGGCGAGATGGATGATACTCCCTGGCCCCTTTATAAGCCTGCTGTTGGGATAGATGATCCTGTTATTCAACATTAACTTCAGGATTGACTCCAGATATGTGCCATCCATCCTCCAATAGATAGCATGACCACGTCAGAAACATTTAATGATCATCAGTATCAAAGACAGCTAACCGATCTAATAAAATCTCTGTGACCTCTTAGTTCTTGTCCTTTATCAGCAAGAAGCTGACAAATTATGCTGGTAGAATCTCTCCCCTACCTCTAGATTGGACAATATCAGGAAAATCTGAGCACTGTAGATATTGTCAAAAGTTGCTTTACCCAAATTTTCTCTATTTCTCTTCCCCAGACGAGATGAGATGGTAATAATGTCTGTGTGGGTGATTTTTATTTGTTTTTTGGAATGAGAGTTAGGGGATAGTTTTTGAGCACGCTCTACTGTATTATCTTGAGGGTCATTTGTAGCAGTGGAAAAGGGCTTCACACTTGTGGTAAACATGGAAGCTATCCCGATCCTGCACCCCTGTAGCAGCAAGAACAAACTCCGCCAACCAGTAGAATAGAGAGGGTTTATTGCTTCTCCTGGATACAGCACAGCATAGACATGATGTGGTTACAGGAGTCGGGGCCAGGATGCCTCAGACCCCTTGGGTTAGGGGGTCCATCGCCCTCAGCACTCAGCTTAGTCTGTTCCCTTTGTGTTTCCCAGCCAGAAACTGCCTCGCTCCCAGACCCTGCCCCCCAGTCAGGTGTTGGTCTCCACCTCCCTTCCTTTGTCTCTTCCCCTGGGAAGAGCTTTGCTAACTGCTCAGGTTGGGACTAGGTGTCTGGGCCAATACACATGTGGATGAGTCAGTGGGAATCGCACATCACAGCTCAAGGGAACCCTGGGTTACAGAGCAGACAGCACCCCCACTACATCACACAAGCGCATGCAGAGGGATTCAGCTCTTATGTCACTTGGTTTGTCTAAAAAGCCCTTGTCATAAAACTGTCTTCTGAAAGGACCCTGTATACTCTTTGGACTCTAAACAAATCCGATATACAGGCAGTCCCCGACTTACGCGGATCCGACTTATGTCGGATCCGCACTTACAAACGGGGCTCCCGCCCCGGAGGTCGAGGTAGCGGATTGCTACCTGCGAGCTCCGGGGCGAGAGAGCCCTGTTCGTAAGCTGCTCCGGTGACCCTGGTCTGCTGGAGACCGTCTTCAGCAGACCAGGGGCACCGGGCGGGTTCCCGCGATTCTGAGGCTTTTGCCAGAGCCAAGCCTCAGAAGCGCGGGGAACCGCCGCTGCTGCCGCTTCCGTCCGGGTGCCTGTGGTCTGCTGGGGAGCGTCCCCAGCGCGGCGCTTACTCGAACCCTC